TGAGTAGGTTGACTTCTTATTAGTGAGATCTGGATTAGCTTAGGATAGAGAGAGAAATAAGGCCCTAACAGACCTCATATGAAAGACCTTAAGGAAACACATATGGGAAACTCCATCATGAGCTAGAAACAGAGACCTACTGGTCCTTCTCATTCTGCAGCTTAAACTGATTATGCTGTTGGCACAGGAAAGTATAGCTAGGACAATCATGAAGTTTCTTTCCCATGACTCTTTAGGGAAATAAGGACTCTGCCCTCAAGGGGATTTTATCAATCTATGAAAAGGACTGGGATGCACCTTTTAATGATTAAATATAATAAATATCCTGAAATGGGCTAATAACATGCTTACAATTTCAGGGAGAGACTGGTTTCACCTTTACCCAACACCAACTGTCAACCTTAGAAGCTCAAGTGTATATGGATCTCATATGATTCTCCCTCATATCAAATTGCCACTCGTAGAAATAGAAGAGGCTTGTGCAGAGGCCAGTTATCTTGGTTGTACATTGAGAGGATCCCCAGGGCAGACCAGGAGCTAAGGCAAAGACTCTAATCTAGGCATGAATTTTTATTGTGCTACATTGAAGGGGAACTCCCTAATAATTCCTTTCCCCTAGTCTACCATGGAAGTCAGTAGAGTTCCTGAATGTGGTGTCATCTGACTTGAGAATGTGAGGTGGATGGTTTTAAAACTCAATCTCAGAGGGCCCATCAATTCAGCATAGATTAGAGTTCTGAATATTGGAGGTTGTGGATGAGGAATAAAAAATATGGATTTTCAATGGCTTTTCTGTATGCCAATAATGAGAAAAGTGTGGCTGAAATTAGGAAAGCAACTCCATTTGTAAAAGCCCCACAAAAAATAAAAAAAACCTAGGAATTACCTTAACCAAAGAAGTGAAGGACCTCTATGATGAAAACTTTAAAAACTTGAAAAAAGAAATCAAAACACAACTTAGAAAGTGCCAAAACTCCCATGCTCATGGATAGGAAAGATCAACATCATGAAAATGGCAATACTTCCCAAGACTATCTACAAATTCAATGCGATACCTATCAATATTCCAAACTCATTTTTCAAGGAAATAGAAGAGGCAATCCAAAAATTCATATGGAATAATAAAAGACCCCAAATAGCAAAAACAATCCTTAGTAGAAAGAACAGCACTGGAGTAATATCAATACCAAATTTCAAACTCTACTACAAAGCCACAGTAATCAAAACAGCTTGGTACTGGCACAAGAATAGAACTCAGGACCAATAGAATAGAATTGAAAACTCAGAAATGAACCTACAGACCTATAGCTATCTAATCGTCGATAAGGGAGCTAAAAAAATAGAATGGAAGAAAGACAGCCTCTTCAGTAAATGGTACTGGCAAAATTGGTTAACTACTTGTAGAAAACTAAAGCTAGATCTTTATATATCACCATGCACCAGAATCAACTCCAAATGGATAAAAGACCTTTGAGTCACAGCAGACACTCTGAAAACATTACATGATGGAATAGGAGATACCCTAGGTCTCCTTGGCACAGGCCGAAATTTTCTTAATAGAGGCCCAGAAACACAACAAATCAAAGAAAGGTTGGACAAATGGGACTGCATGAAATTGCAGAGCTTCTGCATGGCAAAGGACACAGCTAGCAAGATCAATAGAAAGCCCACAGATTGGGAGAAGATCTTCACTAGTCATACAACAGACAAGGGTCTCATATCTAAAATATACCTGGAACTCAAAAAATTAAATCCCCCAACAACAAATCTCCAAAGAAACAACTGCCCAAAAAATAAGTGGGCTAAAGACTTCAAGAGAAACTTCTCTGAAGAGGAAAGAAGGATGGCCAATAGACACATGAAGAAATGTTCAACCTCCCTAGCCATAAAGGAAATGCAAATCAAAACAACATTGAGATACCACCTCATCCTAGTTACAATGGCTATAATCAAGAACTCTAATAGCAACAGATCCTGGAGGGGATGTGGACAGAAGGGAACCTTACTGCATTGTTGGTGGGAGTGTAAACTTGTTCAACCACTATGGAAAGCAGTATGAAGATTCCTCAAAAGGCTCCACATAGAGCTCTCCTATGACCCAGAATCCCACTTTTGGGCATTTACCCAAATGTTCACAAACAAGACCACACTAAAGCTATCAGAACAACTATGTTTATTTCAGCATTATTTACCATAGCTAAGATCTGGAACCAACCCAGATGCCCCTCAGTAGATGAATGGATCAAGAAAATGTGGTATATATACACAATGGAATTCTATGCCTCCATCAGAAAGAATGACATTGCCCCATTTGTTAGGAAATGGAAAGGCTTGGAAAAAATTATATTAAGTGAAGTAAGCCAGGCCCAAAGAAACATAGGTCCCATGGTTTCCCTTATTTGCAATAACTAGTATATGTCTGAGTCAAGCAGAAAATGTCAGATAAGTTGATGTTAAGGAAATGAACCATAAGATATGTATTCAAATTTTTTGTGATTGTTTCTAACACATTTATAAGATTATTTCTTTGTTGCTTTGTATATCCCTCCCCCATGGTGTAATCCCTGCTTTCACTGTATTTGATGTCGGTATAATTTGTGGAGTGGAAGGGAAAAAAACAAATCATTTGAATAGGGATACAGGTGGACCCATTGCAACAATGAGATGTACAAGTCCTTATGTGGAAAATGAACTTTAAAACTTTGGTGGGGCGGGCGAGGAGGATTGGGTGGGGGGTGGGAGGAGGATGGGAAGGGATGGGAAGGGGAAACAAAGGAGGCTACAATGTTTGATAAGAAATGTACTCATTATCTTGCCCCTGTAATTGTAACCCCTCTGTACAGTATTTTCACAATAAAAAATATAGATTTTAGTGAGCACTGGTGACTCATGCTTGTAATTATAGTTATTTAGGAGGTTGAGGTCTGAGGATTGAAGTTCAAAGCCAGTTGTGGTAGGAAAGTCCTTGAGACTCTTACCTCCAATAAACCACTAGAAAACCGGAAATGGTGCTGTGGGTCAAGTGGTAGAACACTAGCCTTAAGCTGAAGAGTTGAAGGATAGTGCCCAGGCCCGAGTGCAAGCCCCATGACCAACCAAAAAAATGGATTTTTTTCTCAAGTCACGAGAGATATATCTGTCATATCCTGATCTGGTTGGAAAACCTCAGAATTCCAGACCATATTTCTTCCTGACTTTTACTTATGTAATCCGATGGGCAGGAACAATCCTGGTCCTAGATAGTTACCAAGGCAAGGAACTCTCAGTGGCGTTAAAAATTTTCCTCAGTAGATATAGAAAGCTCCAATTGTACCATGGAGACATAATTGCTTTCTGGACGTTCTAGGTAGGGAATCTTCTTTTTTCATATCCTCAGAACATCTCCTAAATGTAAGAGGCATGACATTTTCTGTGATTAGATGGACTAGAGTCAGTGATAAGAGGTGTAGGTGTGGCCAATTGTCATGTGAAGGAAGTAGAAGAAAGACAGAGAACCCACTGAACCATGATCTGGGAAAAAAAAAAAAACAAAAAAAAAAACAAAAAAAAACCCCTTGACATTATTTGATGGTCTGGTGTAATCCGTCTCAGATTCCTTGAGTGTACTGGTTCCTGATTTTTCTTTCTTTCGTTCTTTCTTTCTTTCTTTCTCTCTCTCTTTCTTTCTCTCTCTCTTTCTTTCTTTCTCAAAAATTTTGTGGTCATGTACAGAGAGGTTACAGTTATGTAAGTTAGGTCATGAGTGCATTTCTTTTTGAACAGTGACACCCACTCCCTCATTTTCATTCCTTATTTCCATCTAGGCCTAGTGCTAATGAAATTGCGTCGCTTTGCATCAGTGGTGAGAGGCGTAACCACGGGGGTTGTAGGGGAAGTCTTACAGTGGGCACTGTAAGAAATGGGGAATACCAGTTCAGCCCTGCGAAGTCTCCAGATTCCCGGCGTGCTGGATCCCAACTTGAACACCGGGTTTGTGCAGGTTGGGGCATCAAGGTGGCAGAGGAGTCGTTCGCAGTCTGCTGGGTGATCCAGGGAAGTCCTGAGGGTAGAGCAGAGCCCGCCCCGCCCCGCCCCGCCCACCTGTACACGAGTGAAGGCACCTGTGTGTTCTTGCCTTTTCCGTGGCCAGGACTGTGCGTGTCTTTCTGTCCCGTCGAGAAACGGCGTGATGCGAGGGTTTTGTGCGGCAGCTTTCTGGGCGTGGAACGGGGAGAAGGTGGCCATGGGAATCCTCAGGGGAAACAGGGCGACAATGCACAGAAAGCCCTCCCCCCCACAGGCAGAGGTGGCATTTGGGGGTCGAGAAGTGTGAGGATTGTAAGTCGGGGTGATTGCGCACCTCCGCGGGCTCTGCGGGGGATTTGGCTTCATTTCATTGGAGCAGGGTGCTGAGCATCAGAACCCTTCCCCCACACCCCCGACCCCACATGTATTGACCAGCACGGTTCTCATCATGCCCTTCCTCCTTCCTGTGTCCCATAGGCCGTATTTCCCGTTCTCAATGCGTGGAGTGAGAGAGACAGGAGGTTTGTGAGCGGCAGCTTCCCGGCCGCAGAAAGTGGGGAAGATCGGAGAGCCCCTCCCCCACGCAGAAACTGCAACATTTGAATGTGCTAAATTACTAGGTCCCCGGATGTAAAGTTTACAAAGAACAATAGAATGCCCGCTGAAAGGCGCGGCTTCATTTCATTGGATACAGAGTGTCGAGCCTGGCCAATCACAAAGGAAAGAACGTGGGCACTTGTGGAATGCCCTGCCCTCCACAGGCAGGAGCGGCGCCATTAGCAGCAGGTTCTGTTTGGCGGTGGGACGGATAGTAGATGAAAAGTCGCTTTGGTTGTTGCCTAACACCGGTATCGAGACTCAGAGTGAGGTGAGAGTTAGAGGACAGTGACACGGGAGCGGTGGGTGGGGAGACGGGGCCGGCGTCCGTGGCCGGAGGATCTCCCACAGGAAGGCATTGCGCCGTGTCCATGCCGGACTTCTGAGCTTGGGAAGCAATGGCGAAGGCAGAGGGCAGAGGGCAGAGGGTGGAGGGCAGACGTGGATGGTGTCCCTGCACACAAAAGGGAGGCTGGGCCGCTCATGCCCTGCTCCGTATTCATGGGAAGCGGGAGACAGGAAGGGCTCTTCCTGTCGTCCATGAGAGCAGTGCGAGCGAGGTGCCGCATGGCGACCTTGAGAGTGGACGGACCGTGGAGAAGAGGCGGAGAGACTTCTTGCCCTTCGCCGATGGGGTTGGGGGGGCAGTGGGCAAATCTTCCGTGTGGTGCCGTTGCCCTGTGACGAGGACTAGCTGTGGGGAGACTGTGGATAGGGCGGGAAGCCCCCACCCCAGCTTCATGGGGAGCGCGGTCCCTGTGAGATTGCCAGCATTTGTCCCTAGCAGGCTCCAGTGGTGTTCGCAGCTGAGCCATTGCTAATTTGAGGGAGAAGTAGCTTCCTGCGCGGTGTTTGCCTCGAGGAGGGAAGAGAGCGGACCCCGAGACCTTGAGGGGGCTTTAAGGTGAGGATCCTGAAGGTGCGAAGTGGAAGTTTTCCACAGAGTTCCGAAAGAACATGCCTTTCCCCATTCTGCCTAATCTAGCGGCCAAGGATGATGTCATGAGGTTTTTTTTAAAATTTGTTTTTGGTCAGTCATGGGACTTGAACATTGGTCCTGGGTGCTGTTCCTTAGCTCCTCAGCTCAAAGTGAGTGTGCTCTACCACTTGAGCCACAGCACCACTTCAGTTTTCTGGTGTTTAATTGGAGATAAGAGTCTCACAGACTTTCCTTACCAGGCTGGCTTTGAACCGCGATCCTCAGATCTCAGCGTCCTGAGTAGCTAGGATTACAGACCTGAGCAACCGGAACCTGGTTTAAGATCTTTTTTAATTTTTTACTTCAACTTTGGAGACTGAGGGAACGGAAACTTTTCTTCGTGTGCTCTTGCCCTCCTTGGAATTCAGATGAGAAAATTTATCAAGAAACATTGTACTCATGTATTGAAATGTGGAATTGAGATCTTTTTGTAAAACGACTTCATATTAAAAAAATAAAAAAAATAAATGGTGGGCTGGGAAGGTGGCTCCGTGGTAGAGCGCTTGCCTTGCATGCATGAGGCAGGCCATGGGTTCGATTCCTCAATACCACATAAGGACAAAAAGAAAAAATTGGGAAGTGGCACTGTGGCCCAAGTGGTAGAGCACTAGCCTTGAGCTGAAGAGCTGAGGAACAGCTCTCAAGCCCAGAGTTCAGGCTCCACGACCAGACCCACAAAAATAAAACTAAAAATAAATGGTATTTATGCCTTTTGTATAAATATCTATTTACATATGCAAACCTGTGCATATATATATATATATATATTTTTTTTTTTTGGTCCAGTCATGGGGCCTGAACTCTGGGCCTTGGCACTGTCCCTCAGCTCTTCAGCTCAAGGCTAGAGCTCTACCACTTGAGCCACAGCGCCACTTCCAGATTTTTTCGTTTTGCTTATGTGGTGCTGAGGAATCGAACCCAGGGCCTCATGCATGCAAGACAAGCGCTCTACCACTGAGCAACCTTCCCAGCCCTGTGCATATATTTCTATGGACATTTGTACACACACAATATCAATATGCACAGACATATGTGTCTATATAAATATACAGATTCTCCACCTTTCATTTCTCTTTCCTTTTGATGGAAAGGAGGAATGCTAAGGCTTCTTTTTGTCCCCTATTCTCAGTCCTGGGAGGAATTAAGGTAGAGTGGACAAATTCTGCTCAATTCTGCTATAGGCTCTTTTAGGTGTCATAATGTTGGACATTTGTGCTTGGCAGGAAAAATTCTGATCATTAGAGATTGGGACAGACCTTGCTAACAGATGTACATCTTGAGGTTGACTTTATCCCCTAGCCATGGGAAGGAATCACCTGATTTAATACTCCTTTCTTTCTTCTTGGATTATCCTAGCAAATTTCTTCTTGGTTTGTAACACCACGAGAGAGAAGATTTTCAGACCAGTGTCAAGGTTAAGGTAAGGAGTCAAAGACACAGCAATAACACCTGTTACTCAATGTAGAATGGGTCCCAGGAATTTACCAGCTTGTTTCTGACTTCTGCTCTGGGAGGGTGTGGGTGAGAATGTCTAGAGGTAATGTTTCTTCTTCCTTTTGAGGATGGTGGTGGTGTGTCTGGGAGGTGACCTCTTATTTGGAAGGGACAAAAGTAGAACATGAGGGCAGACTGTCCCTGTCTTCAGTAAAGTAAACTATCCATGTCTGACCGAGGGTATCTTCCCAGTTGAACTGATGGGCCCTAGCACCAGGTAAGAGTGGTTGTGTTATATCAATTCAATATTTTTCTTGTAACATTATGTTCTCAGGAACATTATAGCCTTGGCCTGAGTCTATGGACCAAAAGAGCACCTATATCAGTTGCATTTAAATTTTTTCTAGGCATAGTGTCTTGTACATCTCATTGTTGCAATGGGTCAACTTGTATCCCTATTTAAACAATTTGTTTTTTCCTTTCCCCTCCCCAAATTATACCAATGTCAAATACAGTGAAAACAGGGGTTATACTGTGGGGGAGGAGCAATAAAAAATCACATGGTACCTTATAAATACATAAGAAACAATTGAAAGGTAGAAAAAAAACACTTGTGTCTTTATCTTGGGGTACATTTCACTTAACATCATCTTATCTGACCTTTTCTGTTTGTCCTAGACATATACTAGTTATTGCAAATAAGGGAAACCATGTGACCTACGTTTCTTTGGGTCTGGCTTACTTAACTTAATAACAAAGGAGGAAGCAACAATCCTTGATAAGAAATGTATTCATTACTTTGCTCATGTAACTGCAACCCTTCTGTACAGTATTTTCACAATAAAAAACTTACTTAAAAAAAGAAAAAATAAAAATCAAGGAAAAGAGAAAAAATTTTCTCTAGGCAGTGTTGTTTTGGTCAGAGAGGTGGTTTTTCTTTCATAGCACAATGTCAAGTCACCAAGGCATTCCAGGGGCTATGAATACAAGAAAGGAAAAGTCAGGCAATCCCTACTACAGTGCAAGTAGACACCTGTCTTTGCTGCTAATTTTGGAAGGACAATGGCCTGTTAATCAGCTATTTTGCCCCTCAAATATGCATGTGTTGCTAGGGAAATGAACCTCAGACTGAGGCATATCCAGTGTGAGGAGAATAGTATCAATTCAATATAGGGAGAGTGGCAGACTGTCGAAGGAGTTACAGTAAGGAACATGAGGGAGGGCTGAAGACACAATCTCTGTTTCTAGGACTGATGGCATATCTAGTTCAAGTTTGTGCTACCTGTTCTTGCAGCTCCTGGGTAATAACGTGTTAAGATATGTTGCATGATCATTTAGTTCTTGTGGTCGCAACAGTAGTGAGGGAAGGTTTTCAGGAGGCACACCAAGGGCAACAGAGGGAGAAGGGTCTGTCCCTTTATGTGCCAGTGTGAGAAAGAGTTTTATTTTTAATCTAAAAATGATGGGATCCATACAGTGTTTGTCAGATGTTAATTTTCCCCCAGGAAATCATTGACTGATGCTATGGACATGTTGGTTCCTTACTGCTTCATTTACCCTATTCCCCCAGTATACCTGATGGGTAGACTCCAGACCTCGCTAAGACAGATGTGAATAACGAGGGCACTGTTTGCCTTAGACCTCACAGTCTAGCTGTGTCTGTTATTTTAGAGGATTTGAAGCTTGTGCTTGTAGTCTTCAGTTTAGGAGACACCTCTCAATTCTCACTGGAACTGGGAGTAAAAGCATTGCTGTGTCTCATACCATGTATTCTACTGTGGGTCCAAATTCTTAGACTGTACCCTGAGGTGCTTTCCCATGTGCTTTTGTAGTTTCTTAGAAGACAGACCAATTAGAAGTTCAGCAGACCTGTGAGGCTGTGGAGCATCAGAGTTATGGGTGAGTTGTTCAGCTGAGGCCACTCAATCTCTCCCTTCCCCAGGTTTCACACCACTACCTGCCACCTCCAGTAAGCTTCATCATGTTTCAGCCTCCAGTAAATCACATACTTGGGGACGACTTTGAAGACATAATTGGCACAGAACACCTCTTGATTGTGGAGGATGAGAAGCAAGAGAAAGAGATAAAAACAGAGGAAATGGAGGTACAGGAGGGAGGAAATGAGAACACTGCCATTTCCCCTGTCCCTTTGATTTGTATCATTCATCCTCTTTTTACCCCTTTTCCATTGCTTCTTTCTTTTTTTCTTTGATTGATGACACTGTGCAGAAGAAGGTGGACGTGGTGGAGGAGCAGAAGGAAGAGGAGGAGGAGAAGGAAGAGGAGGAGGAAGAAGTAGAGAAGGAGGAAGAGGAAGAAGAGAAGGAAGAAGAAGAGGAGGAGGAGGAAGAGGAAGAGTTGAAAGAGCAGGACAAGGTGGAAATGCTGGAGGTGGAAGAAGAGGTGGAGGAGCAGGAGGTGGTGGATGTGCTGGAGGAGGAGGTGGAAGAGGTGGAGGACCAGAAAGTGGAAGTGCTGGAGGAGGAGGAGGAGGTGGAACAAGCAGAGGAGCAGGAGGATGTGGAAGTGATGGAGGAGGAAGAGGAGGTGGAAGAGGTGGAGGGACAGGAGAAAGTAGAAGTTTTGGAGGAGGAGGTGCGGGAGGAGGTGGAGGAGGTGGAAATGCTAGAGGAGGAGGAGGAGGTGGAAGAGGCAGAAGAGCAGGAGGAAGAGGAGGAGGAGGAGGATGGAGAGGGACCATCTTCCAGTGTTCTTCCTTGGCCCAACAATGCTCAGCACAGTAACTTGTCTTGCACCTTATGGAGCAACATATATGGATCAAATGACCCAGAAGATGAGAGTCCACTCATCTTTCCGCCTCCAATAGAGAGTGAAGATCTGGCCCCTGAGCCTTTGGGGGATCAGATCACTGAATTGGTGCACACCTTGATCTTCAAGCATGGGGTTAAGGAGCCCATCACAAAAGAAGAAATGGTTGAGTTAGTCACCAAGGAGTATGAAGAGCTTCTCCCTACCATCTTGGAGAAAGCAGCTTCATGCTTGGAGGTGATTTTTGGCATTGATGTAAAGGAAGTGGACAGCAATACCTATGTCCTTGTCAACTCACTGGGCCTTACCTTTGAAGATAAGTTTAATGAAGCCCAGACAATGCCTAGAAATGGGCTCCTGATCATGCTTCTTGGGGTGATATTTTTGGAAGAAAACTGTGCTCCTGAAGAGAAAGTATGGGCGTTTCTGAATATGGTTGGAGTGTATGCTGGGCAGGAGCACTTCATCTATGGGGAGCCTAGAAAGTTCATCACTATTGACTTGGTGCAGGAAAACTATGTGGAGTATCGCCGGGTGCTCTACAGTGATCCACCACGCTTTGAGTTCCTGTGGGGGCCAAGAGCCCTGGCTGAAACCACCAAGATGAAGGTTCTAGAATTTTTGGCCAAAGTTAAAGGGACTGATGTAATTTCCTTCTCTGAGTGGTATGAAGAGGCATTAAGAGATAATCATAATGATAATTTTGAAAGTGATCATGAAGATGGTAATAATCCCCTTTTTGTCACAGACTATTTGGAATCCATGCCTCTTGGCTCATATGAAGATGCTGAGTTTGAACTTCCTCTGTTTGATTTTGAAGTGGACAGTGCAGTTTTTCAATAAGGGAAGGGTCCAGGTCAGGCTTTAATAAACACAGTATAAGACAACTCTGTGTTCCTTTTGTACACAGTAATTATACCTTTTTCCATTTCAAATGCTAATCCTTTAAATAAAAAAAAATTAGTTTTGCAATCTGTATTTATGCCTGATACTGTTCACACATTTATTGATGTTTCTCAAGTTTTAAGACAATATAGAGGCATCTTATTAGATGTTTAATTTTTGCTTTCCTGTAGCAATTTTACTGACTTGTGTAAAATTAATAGGTTGTAATTTAATCTTGGCCTATTCAATTCATTTTATAAATTTGGGGGCATTTGTTCATCATGGTGCATTGGTGCCTTTGTCATTGTTCTCTCGTTGTAACCTTAAGTTGGTTGCATATTTTACCTTTCTGAATTTCATGTTTGAACTTGTTTATAAATCCTTGAAGAATTTGTATTTTCATCAATTGATAGGAATAAAACAAAACATGAGTTAAAGCCTTCCTACTGCCTGTACAAGTTTCTGACTCCTCCATCTCTCTCTGACATCCTGCTTCTTTGGTTTAATGATGATCATATCTTTAATATTATGCTGTGACTTAATTCCCAGTACAACAGCTGTTTATTTTGGGACGTAATTAAGTCCTGAGGTCTCTGCCCTTTTGAAAAAATTTACCACCCTTATAAATGGGATAAAGGGGGCAGTTTTTTTCCCTGTGTTCCTTTAGGGATATAATACTCCAATTCCCCCATTCCTCCTATAGCAAAGGTATTTATTGGTGATTATTTTGTCACCAAAGAGCAGTGCTCATGAGAGGTCATTCCTGCTGGTTCCTTGTTCAGTGACTTTCTCAGCTTTAGAAAGAAAATGTGAAACAAATTTCTGATATTTGAAATTACTTAGTCTTTTGCATGTCCTTATAGCAGCACAAATTATGATATCTCCTGGTATCAATCTAGAACTTCAGTTTGAACAGTGTTTTGTTATCTCTCATTGGTTTCAATGGAAAATATCCCAAACATACTATATCCTAATCCTAGTATTACCTATGAAAGTAGCCTCCTTTCATCACAGTTGAAACAACTTTCTCTTGTCAGTTGGAGAAATTGAATTGAGGGCCATTTTCTTTTTATGCACTTGTACTATTTGAGCCATATCTCAGACTTTTTCTTTTCATTTGTTTTGCAAATAGGATCTCAGGCTACTTTTAATTTGGACAACCTTTGAACACATCTCCTGCCTCTACTTCATGTCTAAGTGGATTAAAGATTTGTGTTCCAAAAATTGTTATTGTATATATAGTTCTTTTGTAAAAATATTTTAATGTAAAGACACTGTACAGAGGGGTTACAATTATATGGGTAAGGTAATGAGTATATTTCCTATCAAGCATTGTTACCCCCTCCTTTGATTTTCTCCTACTATCCCTTTCCTCCCCATATCCCCAACTCCTCCATCCCCACTCCAAGTTGTAAAGTTCTTTGCAACATAGTGTCTTGTACATCTTATTGTTACAATGGGTCAACCTGTATCCTTGTTTCAGCATTTTGTTACTTCCCTTCCCCTCCCCAAATTAGAAGAATTTATATACAAGATGCAAGACACCAGAATCAAATGCAGTGACAACAAGGGTTATACCATGGGGGAAGAACATACAAAACAACAAAAATGTCATGTAGTACATTAAAAACCAGTGACAAAGAAAAAAATCTCATGTCTCTATCTTGGGGTTCATTTTGCTTAACATCATTTTCTATCGTTCTTTTAATAACGATATGAAGGCAAGCATAGTTGCTTATGTCTATACTCTAAGCTTCTACGGAGTTGAAGATCAGAAAGTCTAAAAGGCAGAAGGTTGTATGATTCCATTTGAATCAATAGAAATGTGGCTACAGTGGGACATTTTCTCTTCCCAAGTATGAGCTGCATGAATAAGAAATTCATGATTAGACTTGCCTGCACATAAAAGAGAGTCTTTATCTGAAAATAAAATTAGAGGGCTGGGAAGGTGGCTCAGTGGTAGAGTACTTGCCTTGCATGCTTGAGGCCCTGGGTTCGATTCCTCAGAACCACATAAGCAAAAAGAAAAAGCCAGAAGTGGCGCTGTGGCTCAAGTGGTAGAGCGCTAGCCTTGAGCTGAAGAGCTGAGGGACAGCACCCAGGCCCAGAGTTCAGGCACCATGACCGGACCAAAAATAAATAAATAAATAAAATTAGAAGGACCAAGGTTGTCGATCAGGTAGTAGAACTCCCAGGTACAAGGCTCTGAGTTCAGAATTCCTGTGCCACCAAAATTCTTGGGAAGTAATCATATTGCCATTAGGTTGGGCCCTAAATTTAGTGATTGATTTAAATAGAAGAGAAAGGGAAGGAAACTTTGGACACATCTGGATTTAGGAAGAGGGAGTAAATAAGGGAGATTTATGTATAAGAGAAAATGTCAGCAATTTCTAAACCAGATCCATGGAATTGATTCTGCCTCCAAGTGTCCAGAAGGAACTTTCCTCCTAACAGCTTTATTTTATGTGCTTTCTCCCTGAATTAAGTCATTCTTTTTTTGGGGGGGGGTCTGGTTGTGGGGCCTGGACTCTGGGCCTGGGCGCTGTCCCTCAGCTCTTCAGCTCAAGGTAGCACGCTACCACTTGAGCCATAGCACCACTTCTGGCTTTTTTTCCTGCTTATGTGGTGCTGAGGAATCGAACCCAGGGCCTCATGCATGCAAGGCGAGCGCTCTACCACTGAGCCACCTTCTCAGCCCGGAGTCATTTTCTTTTTTATAGCATGACAAGCAGTGTCAATAATCCCTGGTTAGCCACTAGTTCCCTATACTTCTGGGTCTATTTAGCACATTATCAAAAGTGGAATTCTTGGTTATCTGTTTTGGTATATAGTGGAATATTTATTAGGGTATAAATCTGATGTTATAGCAATAGTTTTTGAAACCACTCCGATATTTACTGAAACTTGAATGGGATTTCTTAGAAATTGACCACTGGACATATACCTGAATGTTTAAAAATGAATGGTTCTGGCCAACATGTGGCATAGTCCTGCAATTGTACCTACTGGGAAGATGGGTATCAGGATTGCAGTTTGAGCTCACCTGAGGTGGGGAGTGGCTACATATGTATCTCCCTCTTTCTCTCTCCCTTTATACACACACACACACACACACACACACACACACATACACACACATTACTGGGTTGAGTGAGTGGTGCATTTAGAGTTCTAGCCAGCTTACCCTATAGAGCTAGGTAGGGGGTTATCTGAGTGTTTTTTCATCCAATTTCCAGACCAGAGCAAGGTTTGAAGGGCCTCTGGTTAGCCAGTCATATTACTGATGATTTCGGTAGTGATCTTATGTATGTTATAAGGAATTCTGTAAGTCTTGCTTGCTCCCATGCTCACTCTGCACACTAGACATGGGAACACAGTTACTAGTTGACTTTCACCCAATAGGTTGCCTTTCATCCAGTGGGCAGGTTGACACTTGGTGGTCTGAGCTTAGCTCTACAGTTGGGTTTGCAGGCTAATATTCATGGGTGCATGTTACCCAAATAAAAACCATAAACCCTAAAAGCAAACAAAATCTACAAAAATATAGGGGAGAACAGTGTAAGAATGGAATAGATTCATTCCTGCTTCTATGAGGAGGCTTTGGGCTCTGCCCAAACAAAGCTTTTTCTTTGCTTTTTTTTTTTTCAATGAGCAGAAGATATATATATATATATATATATATATATATATATATATATGTATAAATACACACACATATATACACACACATATATATAAATATTTTTAGTTTAATTTAACTTCACATTCCTTGTAACAAAATCAGTGCAACCAGAATATAGTGATGATAGTGTATTTTGATTATTAAACAGAGTTAAAGATAAAGGTATAAGCCTCCATGGATATATCTTTTTTCCTACTAAAAGGAAAAATTATATTTTAAATTTACCTAAGACAAAAGACCAACCCCCCCAGTATTATATTCTTTTCAGAAGAGAAAACAATGGTAGATTAATAATAATTCTTCAGATTTCTTTTTCTACTTTTTCTTTTGCTTTTTTTTGTGCCAGTATCATCAGGGTTATCTTCTCTAGACAATATCCATCTAGTACATTACTAGTGCTCTCCTATGGTTTACTACCTGGCCTGCATTTCCTTGTAGCCATATACCTAGTTTTTTATTTCTGGTCATTGAGACACAGAAATGTATTTCTATTGCAACAATGAAATATGAAGTTCATGTTTGCTCAGATCAAGTATTCAAGTTTATCAGGCAGTGTTCCTCACCATAGACTTTCTTCCACTATAATGTTAAGCTAATGCACATGGTTATTTCCATCTAGCTAGAGGAAGTGGAAAGAGAAGATTGAGTTTGTCTACAATCTTCTAAAATTGTTGGTCCAGAAATGGCTTGTAGTATTGTCGTTCACATTTTTGTGCAAGAATTAATCACATTGGTCATATCAAGTGTGGCAGAAACTTTATACAGATTCAAACTACTAACATCAAAGACCACTACAGTTAAATTACTTGGATTTATTACTCAAAAGATAACACACATCATGGAGAACCATGAGACACCTGAAGAAAACTGTTGGATATGATTCAGAGTTTTGGAATAGAGTCAGGGGATTTGGAGTTAGGCTTCTTAAGAGAGATTTTTGTATGTACTGGAAGCTGTCAGAAATCAGAGGTAATTTTATGTTTGGTCTCCTAATGCATCTTGTTGAAGGACTGAAGACAAGGACAAACAGGTTGTAAGGAGCAAAGAAGCAGTGATATATTAGTCAAGATAGGCAGATATGTGGCCAGTTTTGTGACTTATAATCATCATGTTTTGTCTGTGGTCAGATGGACTATTTGTGTTTTTTTTCCTTTGATTTCTCCTTGTCACAGAGTAGTCTTACTGGACACTTATGTTCTCTGAATTGTTTAAGTTCAATAGAGTAAAACTTTCACTCCTGTCAAGCTGATAGTACCATATCAGCTTTTTGATAGGC